GGAGCCAGGCCGGAACATGGTAGGACTGGCCATCTGCCACTTACCACTTTCTCTGGACAGTTCACTCGAGGTGCCCTCAGCTGGAAGTCGGTGGTGGGGGCCGGGGGTGCGGGGGAGGACTGCGCCGCTTTGGGTCTCTCCTTGGCAGCCGCGTTGGCAGCGCTGGCGGCAGCAGCCCCGGCCGCAGAGGCGCTGGCGGCAGCAGCAGCGCTGGGCGGGCTGTCGCTGGCGGACGCCTCGCCTTCGCCCTCGCTCCTGCTGCCCACCGCGGGCTGGGGATTGCTGCTGCGGCGGTCCTCCGCGCCCTCGGGGTTCGAGCGGGTCTGCGGTCTCAGCTCCACCGCCCTCTCCTCTCCGTCCGCCGGGCCGGGCTCGGGCTCATCCATGGCGGCCTGGCAGGGTACAAGCAGCTCTAGGTAGACAATTTCACTGCCAGCGAACCGATTCCTAGAAATCCCTCTTGCCCCTTCTCAGGGTGCCCCATAGCCCAGGACTGGACAGCCCTGGTGCTGGAGGCCCAGTGCATCTGCTGGTTTTCAGGGTCTCTTCAGAACAGCAGCCCCTGAAGAGCCAGGAGACCTTCTTAGACTGGTTCCATCGAGGCGATAACGAGCGGATCCAAGTCGTTAGGAGCTCAGCTGGAATGAAAACCTGCCCTGGACCTCCAGGATCAGGACTGCCCATCCCAGCCCCTGCCTGTTCATCTACCTTCAATTCTGCGAGTGCAGGGACACAGAGGACAGGGGGTTAGAGGATAATGCGCTACTTTACTGTTTTCGGTTTCATTGCAAGAGGTCATCAGGTCCTGTTCTTTACACCCATAAAAAAGCAGTTTAGAATTAGTTAAATAAAGGCTAGGAAGCACTTTCAGGGTTTTTACTATCCAAGCTGTTTGATTTCAGTGCTCAATAGCAATGAACACAAACACCCCTAACATTCTGAGTTCTGAGGTTGACGTCTCCTGTTATATTCAGAATGTATTACATCTGTTGTTGTTGTTCATACTAACTGAACGCCATTTTAAACCAAAAAGAAATGTATTAAAATGGAATAAAATGTTCTTTTGTTTTTGTCTGTGGTGTTTACCCCAGGGGTCCCAAATTTCTCGGAGTTCTTGAACTACAGTTCGATTTTTTTCCCCCCAACCATCATGACCAGATCTTAGGCAATGTTCTAAAGTCTTACAAAGAAAACAAAAAGGAAACGAGTGTTTGGTTAAATAGACCCAAAACATAACCGAAGGGTTTGGTAAAGGTAAAGTATGTGAGAATCACGATTAACCTTTTAATTTTTAAATAATTATTTATTTTTAATCTAGTTCAGCCCTTCATTACCCAAACCTGGGTCAGTATTAGCCCCGGAATCAGATATTTCGTACTATTGTTCGTGTTAAAAACTACGTCGTATTTTCCAGTACCTTTTTAAGAACAGATTAAGTTAAAGTGCGAGGTGCTCAACGTACGAGGTGCTACTTAAAAGTACAGATAACATCGTGAAATGCAAGCATTAAAATAATACCCGTTTCTGTGTTGTGCAAAACAAAACGCTGTAATACAGCATTTTCTATTCATATAAAGTTATTTATGTAATAGAGTCGGTGTCTTTCATTACGTTTTCAACTGTCTGTATTCAGGTAAATCACTGACAATTTAGGAGCCGGGTAGAATGTAAATCACAACCCTGCTTTTAACGAATAACGAACTTTATCTGATTAAAGCGCCAAGACATACATATACAAAAACATAAAGCAATTCACTTACAATATTAAACTGAGTTCAAAAGAGATTTGTAAGTGTAGATACTTGCAATAATATCAATTCCCCCAAAAAACATCTAATTCATGCAGGCAGCCATCTTCACCACCGGAAGTCAAACACTCAGGAAATTCGCAGGGAGTCCTGGTAATTGTAGTTTTCAGCGAAATCATCTACAATACCGGACAGAAGCTTTTCCTTTTCATACATATAATGTCTCTGTCAATACTACTATACTCTTCTGTAAGTAAAGAAGACGTTTTTTCCTGCAAAAACAAACAATCTTTAAAAATAATAGCTGAAAACCTGTAACTATCATAATCAATGAATAAAAAAAATGTAATATTAATTATACTACAATCTAAAGTTAAAATACAGAACTAATATATTTAAATCATTAACCTATCATGTAGTTTATATGTACTGTACAACCACGTTTTAGGTACTTTCATAGTAGATTTACTCAGGTTAGAGGATGGACTTCAGCAACAGGTTTCTGTTTAAGTATCTTTGGACACTCTTCTGCTGCAGCCCCTAAACAACATCTCTAAATTCAGACAGCACAGGTACCATGGTTAGCCTTGCTGCCTTGCAGTGCTGGGGCCCTGGGTTCAATTCCTGGTGTGCTGTCTGTGTGGAGTTTGCATGTTCTCCCAGTGTTCACGTGGGTTTGCTCCTGGTGCTCTGGTTTAGAAAACTATAGGAAGAACAACGCAATTTTCTTCTAAATTCGTCATCACCTTTGTTGTCTTTGAGGTTTTGCCAACAGGACAGGAAATGTAGCTCAGAGAGAGACTGACGGGGATACTGCACTGGTCAGTCACAGACTGGAAGCCTCTGTTAAGGGTGGTTGTGGCATCGTTCGGGAACATTAGCTCAGGTTTTTTTTTTTTGAAAAACGTCTAAGAGAGATTCCACAGCTGAAGTGGAACTGAAGAAAAGCCCTGCCAGTGAACAAGCTAACAGTGACAACATGGCTTAAAAACTCCATGTCGGAGGTGAAGGATTGGTGGAGATGGAGCAGTATTGATCAGCACCAGCAGGAGCCTGGAACTGAGCTGTGAAATTTGTATTATATCCCAATGGAAGGGACAGACAGACTGAGGGGCTGGGAGAAGCTATCTTCTCATGGATCTGGAACAGAGGGAGAGGTAGGTCTTGCAAAGTCATTCAAAGTTACTAAAAAAAGAACATGATTGCTAAAGAAACCTGATGATCCATACTGGTTCAGAAATGCAGTGAATGGGTTTTAAGTACAGCATGCAAGTCTGATATTAAATAGCAAAGCTCTGAGAAGAACCAGTTGTTGCTTTTTTTAATCAACGTATTGAATAAGCAACCATTTCACAGACTAAATAGAAAGATGCTTCTCATTGCACAGAGGAAAATACAGGTTAATATTTTTTTTTCCACAGAAAATGCATTTTGTTTCATACAAGGTCTCAGTTCTGCTTAATGGAAAACACGCGGATGATTTTTAAATTTGCGTCGTTCTTCCTATAGATAAACCCGCACTGGTAAAAAAAAAAAATCGAACCTCCTATATCTGCTGGAAACACCCCAGTAAAGGAAGAGGGAACCCATGGCGTCTGGCTTGCTGTTAGCTTCTACACCCCATCTCCTGTAACCTCAAAAACAATACTCTCCCTTGTTTCCCCCCCTCAGCACTCTGGTAACGGTATTGTTATCTTGACAGGAAATTATGCATCAGGAAGTTCCCGTTTCCTTCTTTTCCACTCCTCCAAACAATGGCTATGGTTCGTAAACATTCAGCGCTCAGTGAAAGCTCTGCGTACGTGCAACATCGCCGCAATGGCTTAAATACTGACATCCAGTTTTTATTATTGTAGGAGGACGAAATGCAACCCAACAACATTTTTTACCTTGGCGGCTCTAGTAATTATGTCTTTTCAAGGCAGTCTGCCATTAGGAAGACAAAAATTCATTTGCATAATTTTACCAACATCTGCATGTGTGCAATATGTGAGTTTAGTCGACCTCTCTACTCAATTAGGCTCACACTAAAGAAAATAATCCCTGCATATGTCCATATGTATTCTTTTCTGCAGCCCCCACAGGTCTCCTCTGAGGAACAGGGAACTGCCAGAAATAAGGAGCCCCAAAAATGTGAGGACTGTACCCCAGGCCCTACTGATCCCTTGGCCCAGGAGCTGGCCCAGTGTGAAGAGGAGGTGGACACCTTGCTGAGGGTGATAGCAGAGCTCAATGGGAAGATGAGTGGACTGCAGAATCCAAGGTGCACACCAGCAGTCAGGCTGACCTCCAGCACTATCTCCCCAGAAAACTTGTACGTTGATGAACAGCCTTGCATAAACTCATTGAGTGGCTGCTGCTTTTAACGGTGGACTGTTGCTGTCCACTTCTAATTGTGGAGATTCCATTAATGAAACGAAACACTCAGCTTACTTAATGTGGAAACTCGAGGCCCTGTGTAGCAGAGTGACCTGTTCCACTGAACTCTAATATTAGGATGTGAAGCATTTGATGTTTCGTGCTGTAGGGTCCAAGGAGAAGAGACAGCGCCAGCACCCAGCAGTCTCAGTCCAGGGTCTGAGTGCAGTCCTCTGTCTCAGTGTCCCCTCCAAGATGGCGACCCACAGCCTGAGGTTTCACTTCCTGGACAAGGTAGTGAGAGTGTGAACTCACTGTGTCAGCTCTGTCATTGACATTTCCCTACTATTTATTCTGAGTATAACGGCTCCTAAATTTCAGGCTTGTTCTGCGTTCCTGAAGTAGGCAATGCTGGGCACAGCTAAATATGTTGTGTTTTAACATCCCCCGAGGTGGCAGTGCTGAACTGTGGGAAGAAATGCAGAGGATCCTGACTGCTCTGGAGACTTCCGTTCACAGCAGGAGAACGTGGGCTGACCCAAGCACCGCCTGTGACGAAGAGAAACACGCAGAGCACCTGAGAGCAGCCAGGGAGAGCTGGGTCCAGGTCACCAAGGTGTGTCTCGCAGAGCAGCTCGACCTGTATTAGTACCATGGCTGTGTTCCACTGTGTACTGTTAAATGGACGTCGTGGCTTTGACTCAGGTCCTGGAAGAGATGGAGAGAGAATTTGGGATCTCCTACCCTTCAGCACTGCCCCCTGAAGAGCGGCGACAGCTCCAGAGAGACACCCTCACCTACCACCAGCGAAACCACGACCTCCGGCAGAGCTTGCGCCAGCGGGAGGAAGAGATCAGCCGGTCAAAGGTCATGCTGAGCGGGCTGCAGGAAGAGCGCGACCGGATGAAAGTGAAGGTAATATGTTAGGCGGGCGGACTCTGGTGCCCTTCAATTAGAAGACTACCAATCGAAACGTCCAGAAGTCATATGTTACCTGTCTCATTGGCCGTCATGAAGTTCTACTACCTTATAGTTGACTAACAATTGAGTTAGCATGTGAGTGAGAGCATGGAGGAAGAAAGGGTGGCGTTCTTGTGATAGCTTACAGTATCTCAAAACAATGCTCAGAAACAAACAAGTTTTACTAGCAAGCACATAATCTGTTAATGGAGAAGAATCTCCTTTTTGGCCATTTCTGGTTGTGTTATTTCAGTGCATGCTATTTTGTCTTTTTTATCAACTTTGCTAAGCTGCTGTCCTTTTGATCATTGTTAAAACGCAGAATCTTGCCCACACACCCAGCTGCTATAACCACTAGCTTCCTCTCCCCGACCCCAGCTGCTGGGTCTCCTGACTAGCCTGCAGAGTGCGGGCAGTCTCTCCCCTCCTACCAGCCCCTCCAGCTCCTCCAGTGGAGCCCTTAGCCCCTGCTGGACCTCGCCGACTTGCCCCGGATCCCCCCAGCAGCCTCATCGCCCAGGTCAGGCTGCTCCTGGCTCAGACTCTGCAGGAGATGGAGCACCTTCCACCCCCTCTTCTCCCGCCGGTGGAGTGTCGCCTTTTCCTGCCCCCCAGCCTTCTAGAATCGTCGGCTTCGAGAGCGAAACCGACCGCCTGCAGAGGTGAGTGCGCCCGGGGCAGGATTGTGGCCCGTCTGTGCGTGGGGGTTTATCAGATTGCTCTGTTGTTTCCTTCATCTGGGGCTTCATCTCAAGTCATTTCTCACCCTCTTCCTGAAACTGCCGCAGTCCTCTGTCTTGCAGGTTACCCTAAATTGCCCGTATCTAAAGTTTGGAGACCACCTGCGTACACATTTTTGAGTGAACATTTGCACATTCTAATGCAAGACCGCAACAGCCTTCTGGGTTCATAAACAAGAATACGGAAATGCCTGACGGAAACGTCCATCCAGATGCACGCAGAACGGAGAGCACAGTTTGAGCTTGGCGGTAGAGAGAAAGATTGCTGTTGCTGCAGAGCCTTGCCGAATGTAAATCAGTATGTGCAGATGTGGGAAAGCAGGTGAACATAGGGCAACGTCTTTTTTGCCAAATCATTGGAAGAGAAACAAAGTCCCATGATAACTACCCTCGGAGAAAGCAGTGCTGCCCTGGGGCTGAATCTGTGCTGTCCCCCCAGGTGCATCGAGAGGCTGAAGTCGCGGAATGACCGTCTGTCCGCGGCGCTGGAGAGGAGGAAAGGCGAGTCGGAGCAGATCAGCATGACACTGGGCAAACATGAGGCCAACTGCACAGCCCTCCAGCTGGCTCTGAAGTACAGGTGAAGTCAGCGGCTGCACTGCAATGCAGATATACAGCATGGCTCCTGGTGCAGCTGTGAACATGGGGAGAGCAGGGTTTTCTGTAATTCACAGTCTGATTCATTCAATGCATCAGTGGCGAGATAAGGCCTATTCTTAATCTTTGCACAGCTCTGTGCATATTAAACTGCTCTGGCAAAATTCGGGGCTTGTTTACTTCACCAGATAACTCCCCATAATCGCCATGCTAGTGGTTGCACATCGTTTGAAATGTGTAGCACAATGTTACCTTTGGCACATGGTGTGTGATCCCGATGTGCCTTGCGTAGCCTGTGTCATCTGGCAAATAAAAGGTCTGTCTTTTGTGAAGGGGGCTCCTCCGTTTCACTGCCTTCTCCTCTTTGTGGTCTGTCTGCTCTCTGTGTCCGCTCGGTGACTGACAGTGAAGAGTGTGAGGAGGCCTACGGCGAGCTCCTGTCACTGTACAGGGACAGGAAACGCGAGGACAGCAAGGAGACACCTCAGGCTGCAAGTGAGGGGAGCTAAGAGTCAGCATTTATTTAGGATATATATCTACATTTTTAGAGTCTTAAATAATAAGACTGAAGGATTTATAAAGAATAAAAGCAAGTATAAAGGTGTTTTTTTTTCATAGGCTTTGCCAAGGAGAAAGAGCAGCCACGTGGCCCTGTCCAGGAATGCAGTCGCCCCCAGACAGGGGAGTCCCCTAACTTAACACTAGGGGACGCTGTGGATGAAGCCCAGCCTACAGAGAACAGGTGACAAGATTACTGTACCTCATCCCAAACATGAAAATCTCTTCAAAAAGCTTATTTAAATGGCACTTATTTTTTAACTGCTAAAATGTCTTTGACAATACAAACAGCCCTATTAACATGCAAGGACCTGCTATCACACGGTGATGTGCAGACACAATCAGAAATTAAGTATATATACATACATAAGCTCACTGAAATATCAGCCTTGTTTGTAGAGCAATAAGGATTGATACACATGTTAAGAGACTGGCTGGTCCGTTTTACCTGTTTACTTGCCATTGTCTTACGGATCCAAAGCTCTCCTCAATCTGCACATGGCCAAACCCAATCCCAGGAGTCCGCAGGGCAGGCCCGCTGCGTCTGCAGGGCTCATCAAAGTGCCAGCACCTGGAAAGAGCAGAAGAACATTTGAAATATTAAAAATGACAGGAGATCATTTGGCCCATCAAAAGCTGCTTTGGTTTTTATTAGGAACTAAGGTTTTTTTAGTCTTGAACAGCTGGATATGTCCAAGGATGAAGGTATCAGCCTCAGAAACACGGCTGGGTACACATGCTTTCTATTTCACTGTTTGTTCAGAAGACATCTGCTGTGCTGGCTTTGTCAGTGAAGATTTTGAATTGTTGAATCAGGCCCACTTATGGTCTTCTCTATTCAAGACTAAAAATGTTTAGTTCCTTCATCCTGTCAGTTTATTTCATTCCCTTAAGATCCAGAATGAACCTGGTTGCTCTTCTCTGGACAGATTCCTGTGCAGCCATATCTTTTCTTCTGAGAGCTGGGCAGAATCTGTTACTTTGGTCTGAATGGGTGGGCGTGCGTCTTTAAGAGTTGAGCTGGAGTGAAAATCTCCAGACAGACCCAACACAAGAAGGATTGCCCATCGTTACCACAGGGTGTAGGCCATGATGAATTGGTCAGCCATTGTAGTGGACACACAAGCCTAGGGTGTGGGCCCAGATGGAGCTGTCAAAGTCTTGACAGTAGTAATAAAGTTTTCATTAGAGATTTTGTTCCATCAGCCAGTAGTGGCTCTTTTGGAGACATGTCTCCTATCTTCTGCACCAAACGCCGATTTTCCCGGCATCTCTGACTCTGCGTTCCATAAGCAGGGATCTGCCTGCTTCGGGAGAGCAGGAGAAGGAGATTCGGGCCCGGATCAAGAAGCTGCGGCAGGACAGGGCAGCGGTCTGCGTGCCGGAGCAGGAGCCAGACGGAGAAAGACGACCCAGCCCAGATACAGACACCCTGCCTGGGAGCAGGGGCCAGGAAGCAGCAGGGCCTCACAGCCCCAGGAAAGAGAAAGCTGCATTGCTACAGGAGTTAGTCGCTGTCAGGGTTGGTTTTACTTCTCCAGACCCTTGTACAAAAAACAACTTCATTTTACAATGTTCAAAACCTTAATCATGTGTGCAGAAAAATGAGAGGAACGTGTTAGTGAATGCACTGTTATCATCCATTCTTCAATTTTTATTTAAATGGCTGTAAATATATAACCTTAGGTGTTTTTATAGGCAATATATATATATAGGCCTTTCTCAGAAGAATAGTTAACTAAACCTTCAGTACTACCTATTAATACCTATTCAGTATTATATGAATACCTTCATATATTTTAAGACTAGGTTACATTAAGTTGAGTCCTTTCCAGCTTTTGTGTCAAAGATCCTCAGCACATTCGCCTTGTCTTGAAGTGTTTTAATCTGGCGATAACAGCTTTGAAAAAGCGTCAGCCTCCAGAACGTGGTCACGTCTTATCTTAGGCACAGCCTTCACAGGTGAGGATGTAAAATGATCTTTTTCATGATTGGTTTTAAACATTTGTTCGCCCTCTTTGAGATCTGTTCCCAGTAGCTAGGCTCTGAACAGTGGGAGACCGAATCACTTTTATATGCTGGATTTTCATTCACTGTATTAATTTGTGTACACCTGCCTTTGATCTATTGCAAAGTGCATCATGCAAAGCGCAATATGAAAATTCTTATTTTTATTCTTTGCACGTCTCCCAATAAGCCAAAATCCTTTCCTGCTCCTAGCAGTGTCTGGCTGAGGATCCAGTCAGCGCCTTACTTTCTAAATGTCAGTGCCGTTCCAGGAGGAAATGTCAGAGCTGCGGGCGGAGATCAGGCTGGCGGAGAAGGAGAGGCGCTGTCTGGAGTGGACGCTAACTGCTCAGGGGGCACAGGAGACGGCTCAGGAGCTGATCGTGGACATCCTGAGAGAAGAGCTGGAGGACAGGCGGGCCGGAGGGCAGGTACTCAACTCACTGGCACAGCGGGTGCCATCTCTGCTCTTGATGATCCTTTTAAGTTCAGTTATGGGGCTAGGCCATTCAGAAATGACCATTTGCTCCTGCAATTATCATTGATGATTTGAAGGCTATGTCCCAAAAACATTAGACTTTGGGATTTTATTTTGTAATGTTAAATGCAAGCTTTAGGGAAGGATTCTTATAAACAAAGGGGGTGTGCTGTAATTCATGTATCTTTTTGATCTGCTCACCTTTGCATCGTCCTGCAGAGATCTCCAGAACTGGCAGATCCACAAGTTCCCGGTACAGGGGTCTCAGGACCCCGAAATCGGACAATGCTCAGAGAGATCCAGGCTGCCCTACTGCGGTGAGTTAAGTTATGATACTGGATGGAGTCCGGAAGGGTTTACCTGCTCTTTCTTTATTCTGTTAGGATAACTCAAACACTATTTGTCTCCATTGGTAAGAACAAGAATCTGGCCCACTCAGGCGTGATGGAGGGGTTTCGTGCCGTCTGTGAAAAAGTCACAGTTCTTCCTTTGGGTTGCACCTGCTCACTATCACCCCAGACATGGCAAGCCTCACAGACAGCAGCTGCCAGCCTGCAGGTGGTTGCTAAGTAACGTCTGTAAAAAAAAAAGAACAGTGCTTTGATGGTGTTGGCAATTGTCATTACCATCTAGATCCCTAGTCTCTGGCCAAAACTGAAATCGCGGATAAAGACCGGAGAAATTGGGGGAGCTAGTCACAAATAGATTCTGCTGAGGAGGTGGACGACGAAAAGCTTAATTTCCGAAACATGTTTTTCAGCATCTTTTACTTCGTCTGTCTTGGAATTTTCCAGAGACCCGTCTGTTTGCTGAACCCTACCTGACAGCATGCGAATTCAAACAGAATTTTACTGTGAGAGAAAGGCTTGTGTGAAATCAGACATCTTTCCTGGGGAAGCTTTCGCCGCACAATAAAAAATAAATAATGCCTATGACAACAATAATTGCAAGCCTTCCTTGTAGATTGATCGCGTTTTTGTGCTCTTTTAAAAAGGCAAAACCGAACACATGCCTACCGGTTCTGCAACACGCCTCTCTATAAGTGCACAGGTTTTTGTCGCAATAGACTTGTCTCTCTCTGTGGACGTGCGGGGAACCGGGGAGCTGGGTTTAACTTCACCCCATGGCTTTGTTTAGGGAGCAGGCGCTGAGGAAACGAGTGGGGGCTCTGCGGGGCTCTCTAGAGGCCATGCTGACAGAGAGCGCCACCCGCAGGCGACAGAGTGAAGGGCTGGCAGCGCAACTCACCCAGGCTCACAGGTACTACAGTGGAACAGAATCACATCCTCCCCAGACACCTCTAGGAAAGTAGTCTGATCTTCTGTGCTGCAGTACTAGTTCAACAGGTGCATGTGCATGTCAGCAGCCGTATCACCCTGCAACTCCCAGCTGGCAGCCCACTGAAGCTCAGCAGGAGTGAGCCTGGCCAGTACCTGGATGGGAGACTCCTGAGAAAGCTAAGGTTGCTGCTAGAAGAGGTGTAAGTGGGGTCTGTAGGGGGCGCTCACCCTGTGGTCTGTGGGTCCTAATGCCCACAGTCACTAAATATAGTGACAGGGACACTATACTGTAAAAAGGCGCTGTCATTCGGAGGAGATGTAAAACTGAGGTCCTGACTCTCTGTGGTCATTAAAAATCCCAGGCTGTTTCTTGAAAAGAGTAGGGGTGTTACCCTGGTGTCCTGGCGAAATTTCCCCCTGGTCTTTGCCAGTCATGGCCTCCTAAGACTCCCCCATCCCAGAATTGTGAACTGGGACTCCTCCACACTGAGAGCTGGTGTGTACCGAGTGCACTTGCACACTTTGGCTGCTGTCGCATCATCCAGGTGGGGACTCCCCTCCACCACCGCCACTGTGCAGCCCCCATTACCTGTAAAGAGCTTTGAGTGGAGTGTCCAGAAAAGCTCCCTTCTGGTCCCACTAACACCCCTTCCAGCTGCACCCCCAGCTGTCCCAAGGCAACTCGAACTTGTCTCTTCCTGCTGGGGGGTATTCAGGGGATCTTGTGCGTTGGGGAAGATAGGTTTTGGTTTGATTCAGCTGGCCGTTGTCTGTGCAGCGGGCTCAGACAAAGTCAATCAATCGTTTTGCGCAGGCCGCTATACCAGGACACATGAAATAGCGTTTGCAAAAACAAGGGCAGCATTGGAGAGGAAACAGCATCAACCATCCCCTTAGAGTTCCCAGCCTGCCCCTCACCCCCCAGTGCTCTCCCGTCTTGCTCCGGAAGCTCAGGCCGGAGGACAGAGCTCATGCTTGGCCTCTCCCCCCCTCTCTGCAGCAGCGTGGCCGGCGCTTACAGGAACGCCCGCAGGAAGTACCGGGAACAGCTGCGGCAGCTGGAGAGGCAGGTGGCGGCGATACTGGAGCGGCACAGCAGCCAGGTCGGGGGGCTGAAGGGGGCGCTGCAGGCCTTGGAGTGGAGGAAAGAGGAGACAGTGCTGTGACTGCAGCTCTGGCGCCCAGGTGCTGCACGCACCTGCACACCAGCAGGCCTGAGGAGGAACCCCACAGGCTGCAGTACCCAAACGGGTCCACAAGAGGGCAGTATACACATTTCTTTTATTTGCAGCAGCAGGAACCCCCTCTCAGGATGGACAGCAGGGGGTGGCTAGGAAGGGAGCTCCTGTTGGCATCACCCCTGTCTTTCCATCTGATCCAAGAGAATGTCATGAACCGCCGAACAAACAGATCTGAGAACTGCAAACACCCACACACCATGTTACCTGACTAAAACTCAAGTTTTCCAAGTCAGCCAGCAGATGTTTTTTAAACATTTTTCCGCAATATGTAAAAACCATTGATGATCCCATTCATATATGTAGTGTATGCACTGCCAATAAAAAAAAAACTTTAAATAAAAAATAACTATACTTTAGTATTGGGGGCCATACTTTCCTCTGCGAAAACCAGCCCTGGTCATCTTCTCACAGTGACACTGTTAGAGCAGGATTGTGTGTTGCTCGTGTGAACATACTAATTTATACCGACTGAGACATAATGAAATGTTGACATAAATGCTGTTTAGATTGACCGGGGGATGACGGAGGCTGACAAAAAGAAAGCTCTAGCAGCTGGAAACTGCCTATCGCTCTGTCAGAACAATGGAGGACAAACAGGAAAGTGCTCAGAGGCTCTTGGTGTGCCACTCTCTCCTTCATGCCCCCCCTCGTCCGGACCCCCGCCGCCGCCTGGAGCTGCCAGGAGCGCGTGCCTGCTGTCTCCCCCCCTGCCCCCCCCCGTCATAACCGCCCCTCCCCTGATTGGCTGGGGCGGCCAAGCGTTTGCTCCCAGGCTGCCCGATGAGGAGGGGCAAAGGTCAAGTGTCACGGCGCGGGGTCAGAGGGGTCCCGCTTTCGCGTTTTCATTTCGAAGGGGGCTCAGATGGCGACGCTTCACCCCTGGGCGCCTAACCTCGCGCCAGCCTGGCCCTGCAACATCAGAGGTTAACCTCTTGGCTTGTGAGCAAGCACCCTGCTTTCCTTTGTCACAGCTCATACTGTAATCACTAACTTCAGCAGCAAATCTATCGCTACAGATCCGCACTGCACTGTGTCCTGTACTGCTAAGATGTTTTTTTATCAAGCATCTTCTAAAACCATTTCACATGTGCATGTGTCCAAAATAGAACCAGTGCAGAAATCTACAGTATAATAAAAAGTAAATACTGCGTGCAGGAACAGACTAAAAAACTAGTGAATCACCTCAGGAGCCTCTTCCATTACAATAATGCTAATTTTTTGCTACATCTGGCACTGTCAAGGTTCCTAAAGGAATGTGCGCCGATTGTGTTGAGGTTTTATTAAACGTGGGCGAAGACGAGCAGAATTTTGCGGCGCCTCTCTCTCTCTCTCTCTCTCAAGAGAGGACAAAGCTGAATGATAGACGTGAGAAACTAAATACTGTTGGGTGCCTACAGATCTGTGACCGTCTTCCCAGGGAGGAAGAAAGAGGATGCAGAGCCTTCCAGTAAAAGTGTCAAAAGCAGTCAGACAATGATGGGGGCTGTCAATGGGCTGGAGGGGGGGGTTGTGCCTCGAGACTGCAAGACAGATTTTCCAGCTGGCTGGGTGAGGGAGTAGTTTCCCCAGAGAAGCTGCTTCACCACCGGGGGCTGTGGCGTGCAGAGTTAAGGTCACCTCGTTTACTCTCAGAGAGCCATTCACATTCAAATCAGCCACTCTGGTGAGGAGCGTATGAAGAGATCGCATCCTGCCCTGGCCTTTTCTCGCCTGCCTCTCTGTGACCCTCCTGGGGCGCTTGTTCTGACCTGCAACGTACGGCCTGTGTTCTTCCAACACGCCTCCTTCAGAGCCCTGTGCGCTCAGGGTATTTGCAAAAGGCGAAAGGTCACTGGAGGGCGTCATTATGGAGCCCCTGACCTGACCCCGGTGCACCTCCGTCACAGACACACGCACAAACTCTCCTTCATATTCTCAACTAACACACACACACACACAAGTGGCTAAGGATCTGTGCCTGTGACTGGAAGGTTGCCGGTTCGTATCCCGCGGCCGGCAGAGGAATCCTACTCTGTTGGGCCCCTGAGCAAGGCCCTTAACCCCAACTGCTCCAGGGGCGCCGTATAAATGGCAGACCCTGCGCTCTGACCCCAAGCTTCTCTCCCTGTCTGTGTGACTCATGAAGGGCAAGCTGGGGTCTGCGAAAAGATGAATTCCGAATACCAGCAATTGCATATGGCCTATAAAGTGATCTGATCTTATCTTAAATGAGCAGAAAGATACTACACTTCAGCCACTGAACACATGTATATACCAACCCCACCTGCAGAGAGGAACCCACACTGTTGCTTCACAAACTGCCATGATCTTTACTTAAGAATCCTCCAAAAATAACTAGGTTCTTTTCACACCATGAAGTGGCACTACTCCCAAGTTCAAGGGCCTCCTTACTTTTCAGGCTTGGCATTGCTGAGACAGAAAACTGAATCAAAGAATTGATCACCTGGGGTATTAAGAGGTTGATTCAAACAGCACCTCTGAATTAGCCCTTGAAAACAAGAAGTGAAAAGGGAGGAGGGAAAGATAAGGATCAGGGTGGCTTGTCGGGTTTGAAGTCTTCTTTGGCTAAGAAATTCCTTAAATAGACTCATTAGATACCTAATTATCCTGACTCAATTCCCTCATTTAACATCTAGTCAGTTCTTTGTCCTTGAAAGCTTTGAGTATTTGTAACAGTTTAAAAATGAAAGCATCTTTGTGGATGAGGAACTACTGGACAGAAATATATATATATAAGATATTCTAATGTGGTTCCTCTTGGGTTTAAGCTATTATATATACCTGAAGGCCCTTTCAGGCAGCAGAAACATGCATGTAAACCAGTGCTTAAGACATGCAAGAACAGATAAAGACCCCTCGACACAGTGCAAAATCGAATTGTCTGCTTAGTCCTTAGACAGAATTCAGGCTCTCTTTCTCTGAGGTGTTAGTGCATAGGCATAAATTTGCAATTTCACACAGTGTATTTGGGAAGACATTCTTTATGCAAATAAAGTAGTATGTGAACTGTAGCGGGTTTCTAAACTGGGAAAGAGGTAGGTGGGGGTGCAATACAGCAAAAAACAGGGCTGTCAAAAGCCAGAAACACTGGAGGAGAAGACGGAAAGAGAAAATTGTTCTTTCAAACCACATAAAACGAAGGGCGATGTTTAGTGCGCTCAAACCTGAGTAATTTTCACCCAGCCAGAATGCTGTTCTGTACCAAGCAGACTTATACAGTAACTGGATTTCCTGGATTTTGGACTTGCCAGGAACAGACAAAAAAGTCCAAATTCAACGCTGTGACATCTGATGCATCTGATTTCTCCACCTGCCTGTCAGACATGCTGGTGAGCACTCAGTGAGAAAATGCAGGATTACAAAAATAAGGAGAGAAATGTCTCCATGTGGCGTAATCCCTGTTCTACTGTGCGTCAGCGATAAGAGCTCGTCTGCCTGTGGACTTGCCTTCTTCCAGACATCACTACAGCAGCTGACAGGACCAGCAGGCGTACAGAGCAACTTGGGAAACAGAACGGCCCTTAGCTCGACGAACATTCACTTCGTTAGTAATGCAACGCCATTAAAAAAAACATAGAATGAAAACTAAGCATTACAGAGGAAATATGCGGAATCAGGACTTTTAGGTTTTAATCTCAACTTTCTTTTACTTAGTCTGGACAGAGACACCTAAACACATCGTTCACCTGCACTGACATCCAAACCCCCAGATTTAAGTAACAGCTTGGAAAACTAGGAAAATACTACTGTTGAAATAAGATTAAAGAGAAGGAAGGAGACTTGTATAACATTTAGTTAGGTCCTCACACTTCTATAGCACCCCTAGGAAAAGCCCTGGGATTTTTAATGACTCCAGAGAGTCAGAACCCCAGTTTTTCATCTCATCCAAAGGATGGCGCCTTTGTACAGCTTCAGTAGGCTGCCGATTGTGAGGTGCAGGGCGATATAGCTACTGGCATATAGCCAAAACATACATTCAGTCAGTGGTTTGGTAACACAAAGCACATTTGCTTTAAATATGTGGTTTCTTTTTTTGACCAGTGTTGTCACCAGCCTGTGAGGGATCAGCTCAAGGTCTTCGCATGGAAGGGGCAGATAAATCGTTTTGACTCCCCACCCCCAGACCACTCCTCTGTCTTCCCAGCAGATGTTTTATCTTCTGCAGAATCCCAGGTGCTGTTTATTTTATCTTGCTCACCCAGCCCCAGGGGGTCAGAGTTCAACCACATCCCACTGATTGGCTGCCCTGAAAGGTGAAAGGTGAAAGGCCATCCTGCCTTATAGATGCCAGTGGGCGGTCATGTGTTCACCCGCATAGAGGAAACAAGTGTACAAGTTACATTTTAATCCAAACTCCAAGGCCAAATTCCTTCACACCTAAAGACGTATTTCTGAGTTCAGGATGCCAGAGCAGATCCCAGATCCCTCTTGTGACTAAAACGCCCATCAGCTGCTTTTTAAGGTGAAGGGGTTGAACTGGAAAGAAAATCATTCAAACATTTGTGAGGAACCCGTTGCCAGAGTTGCATCACTTGCTTATAACTATGTTTTACATTTTCAGATACAGGTAGCAGTCCATCTCTTTTAAATCTTGTTTGATTTATTTATATTGGCAGTAGCAGTCAGTAGTGACAGGGCCAAGTCTTTGCTGTTAATTTACAGTTATTGTCAATGCAGAGAACTGTTGCTGCCAGACCTCAGGCTGTGTTCCCCATGGGGAGAGATTCAGGAAGTATTGACAGCAACAGACCACAGGCTGGGATGAATATTTGCAGTCCTAGGCTCGGAGGACCCCCACCAAGAGCAGCTGCATTCCTGACTGCTAGTTCAAAGCCCCCCCACCCCACCCCCCTCTAAGACACACACACTCCCTTCTAAACCCCCAACAGGACAAGAGATGCAGAGAAAACAAACTGTAAAAAGAGCTTGGGGCTCTTCCCAAACCTAACACGCCCTCTATACCAAAAGACTGCCTGGAAACGTAGAGTCAGCGCTGGCAGTAAAGTTGTGACGAGCAAGAAGAGCCCTTTTGGCAAACACAAGTGCCAAGAGAAAATGCAGGGAGTTTTTAAACAGAGACAAAGATGAAAGGTATTGAAATCGCATTCTGAAAAGAGCCAGGGAAATATGTGGATTCATCTCTATGGTGCCAGCCAGAGAAGTTGGTAGCTAGGTAGGCAAAAAGGATCATGATAAGATGCATTTCTGCTCACAAAGGCTGCACCCCTGCCTCAACAGCACTCAAGAGTGGACATGAACAAATGTTCTTTTCTCTGGTCCCGTTTCCACATCAGGATTCATTCCCCTTCTCTCTTCCCACCCCTCCGCCCTGTCTCTTGCTCATTCTAGTTCTGCGGGACTTCAGCTCCCAGATCTGTCCTGCTTCAGGTAGTCCTCAGTCCTGAAGGGGGGTGGGGTGGAAATGTGTTTATTCCTTGCGTTGGCTCTATCAACCCCAACCCCTCCCCACCACACACACAGACACTTTCTCCATGTGATTCATTTCTTTCTGTTTCCACTCCGCTGGCTTCACCTGGGATGCCATGGATTTATTCTGGATTTACACACGTGTGCTTTGGATCTTACGCCATAACCAACCCCCCACTGACACACCATTCACGCTCTGTAAACAACTGCTAAATAGGAGATCTACTCTGTTTCCTGGGAATCCCACTGGCACTGCAGGACAGCCTAGGATCTGACTGAGTTAAACACAAAACAGAGAATCATTTGACCACTTGACATCCCAGGGGGTCATACTGTGTCAATCTTATTTTGTAAAGGAAATATTGTAGTGGCAGGCATCATACAGACAAACCAGTGCTTACATCACCATCTCCCCCATCAGATAACACACTGCCTAACCTCTTTAATGAATCTAACTCTTCTTACAGATTCCCCCTCCCCACTTCATGCAAACCCTGTTCGACATCACGAGAACCTGGGGCCGTTGAATACTCTCAAATCCCCCTAGTTTTGGAAATGTTTCTCTCCAAGTGCTACAAAGATATTTAAATGACACTACACCAGACAGCGTTTGTAACACATTTTTGTTCCAAAATATTTTTCCAACTTTCTCAGATGAGACAACACTAGATAGAATTAATAATACTGATCAAGTCTGAATCACATATAGAGTGGGGGTCAAGATATTATACATCTATATCTGTTCATTCCCACACTTTATAACAGCTTCTTAAGTCTTTTTGTTGAGCTTAGAGTACTGAGCTTGTAAAGTGCTGATATTGATCTTATTTCAGAAACAAATGACCCTTTTAGTCTGAACTTCTTTTTAGTCTGCTCTGTTTTAGCAACACTGGACAGCCTTCAGTCTACCTCCCCCCACACAAATACTACCATTATTCAAATGCCCACCTTATCCACAATGGAGGTGAAAATTGCCAGGCATCCAGGCTTTACCAAGAGCATTTAATTAGACTCGGGACACGTCTCTAATCTTCCAGTACCCCAAACAAAGGAAGCACACAGCTCCCAAGCTGTGATTCAATGGCCATATGGAGGCTGTTCTTAAAGATCTGGTGCAGCACCCACAAAGCCTTTGAGCAGAAAATGGGGTTTGCATCACATTTTGTTTGCACTTTTCAAAGGAGAAGAAAAAAACAGCATTAGGCTGAAAAACAATGACACAAATCCAATTAAGAGGGCATCAGCATTATTCTCCAACAGAATAAAACGTTACAGAAAAGAAGGGCATAGATTAGTAATAAAGTTAGAGTTTCAGAGACAGTTGGCTCTTTCGAGCTCCCAATTGTATTTCTAAGATCCATTCAGTGTTTGGCACATTTGGGGGTTTCTCTCTGCAAACGGAGCTGGCCTTCAAAGTGAGAGAGCTGAACAACCGCGGGCACTCTGCTCTCCACTAACAAGAGCACAGGAGGACTGCTGTCTCTGCGTGCCCCTCCTGGCTGACATTCCGGCTTTGTTTATGATGATGTTGTTCTTGTTTTGAAGTGCCAGTTGTCGTTGTGGTGGGGGTGGCGGGGAGGGCACTGGGGAATGTTGGCCTTGTGCGCTTGGCTCCTCCGCGTGCAAAAACCCCACACGCTCAACAGCCAAAGGACAGGCCGTGCTTCTGCGCGTGTGTGCGGGGGTACTGGGTCATCGTACTACTTGCACACATGCTCCTAGTACATAAGGGGTGTATCCCCAGTGTCCTGGCCAAATTTGCCCCTGGTCTTTACCAGTCATGGCCTCCTAATAATCCCCATCACTTCCTTCAGGACTCTGCTCCCCTCCCCACTGAGAGCTGGTGTGTGGGGAGCGGACTGGCACATCATCCAGGTGGTGCTACACACTGGTGGTGGTGGAGGGGATCCCCATTACCTGTAAAGCACTTCGAGTGGAGTACCCAGAAAAGCGCTATATATATATAAGTGTGAGGATTATTATTACATTAACAAAGTGATTACTCTTGATACAACAGAGTAGGAGTCTCATGCATGACTTTTCATCTCAATCTCTCAAAGTTTCCAGTCGAGCTCCAATTCTCATTTGCATTGTCTTCCTGGAGACCCCTTCAGCAGGGCATTTACCTTGGATGGAGAAGCATGGCTGAAGTACAAGGCTGTGGAGTGATGGACACCAACAGCAGCCTCTCACCCAAGACTTGAAACCAGGACCCTACAGTCCAGAGTGCACTACTCAAGGCTGCCCTGTATCTGTTCTTAACCTCCTCTTCTGTTTTAACACAGCGTTCAAGACCGGATTTATAGTTTTAAACAAGCTAGGGAGCAGTAACGGAAAATTGCCTTTTTAACATTTTTCTTTCCAATAGTTGATGAAATGTTTCCTGTTTCCAGGCCTTCGGCACAAGCCGGCGTGAGGATAGGCTGATTGCCAGAGGATCTCATTTCCCTCTTGCACACACCCCAGTATCCTGACGGAAGGAAAACCTGACTCATTGCTGGGTCCTTTTACACCTTTGCTGTGTAGAAAGAAAGCAGCAGACTGCTTTGCTCATGGACATAGGAAAAAACAGTGATTTACCACCTAGGTGCTCCGAGAGCAGCATTAGCATATATACAGTCAGCTGTAATCCCCAGGGGCTCAATTCTAAAGCAATTCTCCCTCCCAGGCGGGACAAGGGTTTGAAATGAGGGATAGGTGACAGGTAACAGGTTGAAGGGAGCCAGCTTCTACATTAAAAAGACCCCCTGAGATTAATGTTGAGAAAAATAAGAGGTGAAAATGTCTCATGAGCTGTTTTCTCGACATGCGTTACTTTCTGTAAAAACTTCAGCGACAGTTTGAAACACACTTGAAGGAAAAGGAATGTGCCGCCCTACCACAATCATACTGTAACTGTTCCTCAAAAATAAAACGCAAATTAACTGTAAAAAAAAAAACAACACCATTCTGGTTTCTTTCAGCTTCTTTTGTGTTTCTAAAAGGCTTTGAATACCTTGCTCGAACTCGGTTATATAAGAATTTCAGAACTCTGTGAAAACGCCAGAATTTAAATGCATTTCAATGTGGAGGACAAAGCATCAGTCAAATGCCCCGGCCAACCCAAAAAACATTCTAAACTGGAAGGCTAGATTCTGTCACTGCCTAGATGATGTCTCCCCATACGTCCTCGCACCCGTACTGTAATTTAATTTTTAATGCAGTTAAATGCATCCAAAGGGGGAGAGAGAGACGGTCTGAGATGAGACACCGGCTGCAGACAGAGAGAAGATTGAAATTAAAGCAGGGGGCAAGATAAGGAGGAACGGGGCTTGACTGATTGATGCCGCAAAAGCCCGGACAAGCAGGGGTTAACTCTCACATTGTGCTCCAAGGCAGCCTTAGGGTCAGGGTTTGGGATACAGAGAGAGAGGAGCAGTACATTCCTTTTGTATGGTTGCAGCCCAGCAGCCCACTCACTGCTCTTTGACTCCAATGTCCATATAAGGCAGGGAGTGCCATGGTAACCAGAGGGCTTGAATAGCAGTGTCAAATCCCTGAGCACACAGACACACTCTCTCTCTCTCTCACACACACACATAGAGGGAAGGGAAGGGAGACGGAGAGAGAGGCAGAAGAGAAGAGGTTCTTCAGCTGCCCACAGCAGCAACAGCAGCACGGTCTTGGGTCTTTTCCTTGTTCTTCGCGGTTAATTTAATTTATGCTCCAGGAGCCAAAAAAGCACAGCCCCTCCCGGCCTTCTTAAGCGAGCCTGGCTCACAACAACACAGGAGCAAACTCAGGCCCCAGACTGCTCCTGCTCACAGGGCAGCACCAAGCGCTGAGCGGAGGGGGAGCGAGCGTGACACGAGGACGCTTGGAGAGGAGCGTCTGTGACCTGAGCAGAGAGGAGGAAGAAGATCCGTTTTCATTCCACCTTGCTTTTCTCTCCCTCGCCCGTCACAGGCAAGCCACAAGAAGACTGAAGAGGGCCGCAGGAGAGGAAGTAGAAAAAGCCAGGCCTTGTTTTCCAGCAAACAACTGCTAAGACAGAGGGGACTTCTTTGAACTTTGATCTTGTTTAAAGAGAGAGGGAGACTGTGGAGAATGATTTCTGCCCTGCTCTGGCCTTGATAAACTCGTGCTCTTTGTTATTTAACAAAAAAACACCCTTAAAAGGAAGAAGTAACACTTTGCCTTGGATACAGTGTATTTACAGCCCTGAAGCACATTTGTCTTCCCTTGTTTTGATCAAGAGAGGTGACCTGAAAGATAACACAGAAGAGCACCAAGCTACCCTGGGGAGATTTAGGATCCAGCACGCGACAACTTTTTTTTTTTAAACCGCACACAGCTGCTAAGTCTTTTTCAAAACCTTGGCTTTTGGCTTCTTTCTTTGCAGGGGAAGGGGGCGGCAGACTGAACTTCAGAAGACCTCAGCTACATTACTTTTCCCTCAGTCCAAGAGCACTGTTTTGTTTTGTTTTGCACATACAGGCGACTATGCCCATATTTTTGTGTTACGATCTGGCTCCGTGAGGGAAAAGGAAAACATATTTTTGGTGTATATATTTTGGAATATATCTTTTTGGTGCCTGTGGAGGGGGGGGGGATTCTGCTCCCTAAAACAAGTATAAAGTTTTTGTCTTTATCCTGCCCAACCTTTTTAAAATGTATGCTTATTCCCCATTCGATCTGGGAAGCAGGAAATAGTAAAGTGAGACTGGGGGTGCTGTCAGATTGGAAGATAACTGCTTTCTCCCCTCTGAGAACTGGTTAGACTGGTTTGGCAGAGACTGTGCTCTTCTGCAGTTTTTTTTTTTGCCTGCCCTGGGGACGTTGAACTCTTGTTTCTGTCTCCCTGCTGAAGGTGAGAGGCTTTCGGTGTCCGACAACAGAACTAAGCCGTTTTTTGTTGTTGGTTTTTTTCTTGAGGGGAGTGTGGGGGTCTTCTCCTCCCCCCCCACAGGTTGGGCTGTGTGGTGAATTAAATCTCGTTTGTGCCAGCGTGCGCGGCTCTGTGTAATTTATTGTTTCCTGTGAAAAAGGCCAGGCCAAGCCCTGTCCTTCGCACTGTGAACCTGTTGTTCTGGAGCTTGAAAGAGGAAAAAAAAAAGAGTCGAGGGGCAGTCATCAAAACGGAGAGGAGAACACAAGAGACTGGGGGGGGGGGGGGGGGAGGCCCACACCGCCCCAAAACTGTGCAGCCAAACAGAAAAAGTAAGTCGACATGACAAGAGCCGCCTTCCCAGGATTTCTGTTTTAAAGGGAACCCTTTACTCCCTGAAACAAAAGAGGCCAGGAACGGGAATGTTTGTTTTGCCATCCGAGAAGAAGTTCTAGCGTCTGCCTCTCTTTCGAAAAAGGCTCCTCTGTGGCCAAAGGAAAAGGCAGATTCCCAGAAGATCAAAGGGATCCGTTTAGTCGGGTGATCTGACAAATAACGCGCTGGTGTAAGACTCCAGAGGAGAGCAGAAGGAATAACGCCAATCAGTATGGATTATTAAAAGGAGCAGTTAGAGCAACAACCAAAAAAAGAGAGAGAAAAGACCCACAGAACTTCCTGATAGTAACAGCACCGGAGGAACCCAGTCTAAGGTACCTGAGCTCCCTAAAGGTGGGTGTTTCTCTTTTAGGGCAAGAGAGAAGCTTTTGCTCCCACCTCCCTCTGTAGTTGCCCCTCGCCTGCCGGGCTGTCGGTGGGGGTGCAGGTTTGGGCTGTGCGGACCAGCGATGGCCATGGTGAGCGGGGGCTGGGGTGACCCAAACGGGGACACCAACGGGCTGGGGGAGAAGGGGGGGTACCTGCGGGACGAGGAGGACGGCTCCCCGCAGGCGGGAGGCAGCGACGCCGAGGCGGGGGAGGAGGACAAGGCCTGCGTGGTGGACTGCGTGGTCTGCGGCGACAAGTCCAGCGGCAAGCACTACGGCGTCTTCACCTGCGAGGGCTGCAAGAGCTTCTTCAAGCGGAGCATCCGCCGCAACCTCAGCTACACCTGCAGGTAGGCTCTCTCGCCAGCTCCCGGGGAGATCTGAACACCCACCACTCTTGCCGGTGGCACGTGCCCCCTGCGTTTTAAGCTTAGGCTTAGCTGTAGGGTTATGCATGCCACTTTGATGAAAACGCGCACGCGTATTGCTCATCTATTTTCTCACCTTGATCCAACGATCGGGAAGACTGGTCGTTACGCTCACACACTCTGCACACAGGACACCTACACCTCCACTGCTCCCGAACGTTAGGGCACGTCAGCCCCTGCAAACTGCCTTCAGCTGCGGGCAAGCCCCAGCCCAGCTCGCACCCCCCAGTCTGCAGGCTCGGTCTAATCGTACCACACAGGCAACACTGCTGCTGTCTCCTCCACCTGTCCCGCCAGCGGGCTGCGATTCCTGTCACCTGTCACCTGAGCGCGCACCACCTGTCCACAGCACAACCTTGGTGCCATTCAAACCATCAGGATGAAAACAACAGTTCAAAGAAGAACCAGGACTCAGACTGAATGGTTCTCCAGACTACAATTGTCTAAACCATGTGCACCCAATAAAGATCACGTGCACACTCCTGAAGCAGGCTGAAGGGGAGCCGGAGACTATCCTGGCAAGCAACGGGGGTGGGATACACCCTGGACAGGACACCAGTCCGTCGCAGAGCCACACACACTCACACCAGGGCCAATTAACCCGCCAGTACCTGTATGTTTTTTATTTCTGTGGGTTGAAGCTGGAGCCCCCGGAGCAAAGGGAGAACATGCAAACTCCACACAGACATACCCCATGTCAAGAATTGAGCCCAGGGCCACAGCACTGCTAACCACTGTGGCACCAGCCTCCCCCCCGCTTATTAATTTAAAAAGCACCTTCAGAAGTTAAGAGGCTTGAAAATCCAGCATCGTGCTTTACCATCATATTCCCAAACATACTTCCTCTTTACTCAGTTACCCTGAACCCCAACCTATGGCAAAGGTCTAGAATTGAACCCAGGGCCCCACAGCTGTGAGGCAGCAATGCTCACCAATGCCACCCTATAGTGCATCTTATATATTACATATTTATAGCGTCCACTGACTCACCTCCTTTGGATATTAAGGGGGCTAACCAGCAAAGTTTATGAACAGTCAGAGACTTCTAATTTAGATAAGAAACGTGTCATTAAAAAAGAAAAAAAAACATTTTAAGCTACTATAGTTATACTTTGAAAGTTGCACTATAATTTAAGATAGTTTACGTTATGGACTTTATTGGTTTTACCAAAGCTTGTGCTTAACAACATCTCTCAAATGACAGCACATTCTTGTACTTTTCCACTGGGTATGTTTCTTTGCCTTGCCCTGGGAAAAGTAATTACTAACAACATTTTTGAAGAAGAGAAGCTTGAGTTGTAGAACATGGGAGTTGTAGTTGTAGAAATGAGTTGTAGACAAACCAGCTTTGGGGCAGTTAGCTTCCTAATTCTGGGTACTGACTAATCTATGAAAGGTCAGTAATCTATGAAAATTAATATTTTTTTTCTGGGACCTCTAGTGTAGGATATATGCATACATTTCAGCTATGTGCATGAAAATAATACATTTACAACCCTTATTAAGATGCAAAGTCATTTTACCCTGCAACTATACATGCAAGATTATACATTCAAAACCTTGTTTCAATAAAGTTTTTTGAGACCGCATGAATGATAGGGAGCAAGAAGCAATTTATGAAGAATGCTTCAAGGAAAAACAGATTTATTGGCACTAGGTTTTGGCTAAATTGCACCATGGGCTTGCACATTGTGGCTTCACTAAGCATGACATTTCTCAGTTCTCCATCAGCTCACCTCAAAGGATCACGAAGCACTTTACTGAAGGGAGGGGACCCACTTCTTCCACAGAAGGGGGGGGGTCCCCACCCAGGTGACATGCAGCAGAGATTGTGCCCCACAGCAGCCCCACCAGATCAGGTGGCTAAGGGGGAACATTTCTACTCTCTTAAAATTCTGATGCCATAAAAAAAAGGAGGACACGCAATTTAAGACATGCTCCTGGGGAGGCGTCTGCCACTGCCTGCGCCACGCGCGATACCAAACCCTTGCGGCTCCGGGACCGAGGCGATTGCAAGCTGTTCTCACGAGCTCTGGTCTCTCCCGCAGGTCGAACCGGGACTGTCAGATCGATCAGCACCACCGCAACCAGTGCCAGTACTGCCGCCTCAAGAAGTGCTTCCGTGTGGGAATGCGCAAAGAAGGTAAAGGTCGAGGGAACATCCAGGGGCTCCTTCCAGACAGCAAGACAGGTCAGCTCAGTCCCTCCCAGACTGCAGCTCCTGCAGCTGCTAGCAACACGGCCAAGCTACATCCTGCATGTGTGCAGGTTGGACACATGCAGGACTGAAAAAGAAAAGGAAGCTTTAATGTGGTACACGAGGTGTTAATTAGTTAAAACTGCCTTTTCAGATCAAGTCCCATCTTCCTAAAACACCTTCGGATGAGACGTAAAACCGAGGTCCTGACTCTCTATGGTCATCCCAGGGCGTTTCTCGAAAAGAGTAGGGGTATAACCCCAGCGTCCTGGCCAAATTTCCCATTGGCCCTCACCAATCATGGCCTCCTAATAATCCCCATCTATGAAAACAACAGTTCAAAGAAGAACCAGGACTCAGACTGAATGGTTCTCCAGACTACAATTGTCTAAACCATGTGCACCCAATAAAGATCACGTGCACACTCCTGAAGCAGGCTGAAGGGGAGCCGGAGACTATCCTGGCAAGCAACGGGGGTGGGATACACCCTGGACAGGACACCAGTCCGTCGCAGAGCCACACACACTCACACCAGGGCCAATTAACCCGCCAGTACCTGTATGTTTTTTATTTCTGTGGGTTGAAGCTGGAGCCCCCGGAGCAAAGGGAGAACATGCAAACTCCACACAGACATACCCCATGTCAAGAATTGAGCCCAGGGCCACAGCACTGCTAACCACTGTGGCACCAGCCTCCCCC